AAAACAAAATGTGAAATGTGTAATGTATAATCCGATACCTCGCGAATCTGCAATGTTGGATGTTCTTTATTATCCATTTGAAAATTTCACCATCTTTCCTTTTTGGTAATTTCTTTTTTAACTGCATACATTATGTATCTAACGTATGTTACAACCGTAGATTGTAAAAAGTATCAGTGCATGTAACATTAAAAGTCCTTAATTTTTCAAAAAATATTGATTGTATTAACTGAATAAGCGTGAACAATTTTTTGTATTGAAATGGACAGCAATAACTTAAGTTTTCACTGAAATATTTTTTAAAATCAAGTGAAATTCTTTTATTTTATTTGATATAATAGGAATGATAGAAATATCAATAGTCAGAGTCATAACAATATCAATATTAATTTCTTTCAAAAATGGTGATATCAATGACAATAATAATAATAGTAACGTTGATAAAGATACCTTTAGTAGATTTTTTAAGACTACACCATCTTGTACATTGCAAAATAAAGTCGTACATCTTATGTTCACTAAACCTTCATAAGTTATCTCAATTGGATAACAGAATAAATAAAACTTTGTTCCAGTTATTATGGTACAAATTTTTTTTTGTAGTTTGAACATAAAAACATGCTGTGGAGAGGTATATAAAAAGTTCTTATGGGAAATAATGCATATTAAAACTTGAGTACTTACGGATGTATTTTCACATTTTCATGTATTGTAGGATAAGCGTAAGCGATTTTTTAAAAGGAATGGTTGCTCAACGGAGATTCCAATATTATCCCCCATGTAAGTATAACTAATTGTTTATATTGCAAACAAAAACACAATACTTATTGGCATTATTTTTTAGTACCTTTTGAAGAACAGAGAGAAGCGTATCAACTTTTAAATTTGGATTACGAAATTGAACAAGCCCAAATGTTTGTGCTAACTTTGCAAAGAGTATTTGTACGCCATCCGGGAGAAGGTTTGATTAATAATAATAATTAAGAATCCTTGCACAGTAAAAGCCAAAATAATTGCAAATGATAAACAATACAAAAATTATATGTATATTTTTCAAGGGGGTATATTTGAGAATGAAGGACGTGGGCTCATGAATGGCAACCTCCAAAGAGCAGAGCGTATAAGAGAAGCGTTACAAATTCCAGTAGTGAATGAAGACATGATTGCTGTTCCGCTCGAAGAAAGAGTCGGCAATCGTCATTTCGTAGGTCGTCGTCGCGGGCGTGGACGAGGCCGTGGAGCTGGACGTGGCCGTGGGCACGATCGTGGTGCTGAACATGGACGTGAGCAAGATCGTGATATTGGGCGTGGACGCGCGCAAGGTAATGGAGCTGGACGTGGGATCAGGCAAAATCATGGTGCTGGTCGTGGACGCGTGCGAGACCGTAGAGGCGAACGTAGACGTGGACAAGGTGCTGAACTAGGACAAAAACGTGGGAGAGTTCATAGACGTGGACGACGTCGCGAAAGAGGTCGTGAACATCTAGGTGAGATTTTTATGCAACTAAAATAAGATGTAATTGGAAGTTCCATTTATTCGTTTATATTAANATTAATTAAGGTTTAACTGGATTATAATATGCAAAATGTACTTTATGCTTATTAAGCAGACCCAACATCCCAGAGTACAAAAAAGAGAAAGAGAAGAAGAAAAAAAAATAAAAAGCAGCAGGCGGTCGATCCAGCACCAAAGCGTCGAAAAAAGACAAGGAGAGGAAAGAAAAAAGGTAATTGCATTTGTTGATTCCTTGTTTCAGCGTTCTAACTACGGAGGTCTCGCACGATGTGTATCTTAAATATTTTGTTAAATTAAAAATTAATGTAGTTTCATATACGTATTGAAATAGCGTAATGCAATATTTAGTGATATGAAAGCAGCGGTAGTTCGGTGGTTACAGATGTTTTGGAGTGTTTTCCCCAAATATTCTCCTTTTCGTATATTTTGGATTTTTCTTTTCCCACAGATACTTCAGCCATAATTTAAAAGCTATAAAAATGTTATTATTGAATAAATGAGTTTTGAGAATTGAATGAGTCTTAATTTGTAACTTTAAAATATCATGTAATGTCAACTCGATTTTTATTAACTCACAATTTCGTTTGAAAACAACTCTTGTAATGCAAGAGTGTAGAAAATGTTCATCACGCATCGTGCAAGGTTTACAGCAGCATTGATTATAAACTATAAAATAAACAACATGATTGCTCATCTACTTAATTAACTTATTTATTCGTTTGGTAAAAACTGACACAATATGACAATGAAGGCTATTTGTGTATTTACTCATAAATGTGTTGAAGAGGAGCATTAACTGCTTACTTAGTAAAATCAAAATATGTTTATAAGACTCAGATCTCAGCATAATGAATAACTAACATAAGAAATATATATGCAATCTCAGCTTTGATTTTAATTGCCTACCATTATTTAATAGAAATCATATGAAGCGTAAATCATTTTAAAAATTCTGCCTATAAAATATGTTCAGACCCTTGCATACCTCAAAAATACTGTCATAAATAGATTAAAAATTTTAAACTGATTGTATAAAAAATTTCGTGCCAGTAAAGTAATTTTGTTGTTTGTAAACATAATAAAAATAATTTTTCACTACGCTTATGATATTAATGACTTCTTTTTAGTATTTTCCATTAGTATCTTTATTATCATGTTATGTCAGTTACACTTGAAAATTCAATGAAGTAGTAAGAACGCTGAAACTGATGCAATTACAAGTTAGTATATTTTATGATAGATTTTGATATTTTTACGTCTCACACAATTGGCCTTCTTACTAAGTGGAGGTACTAATTCTTCAAAATTATTTGTCATTTGCACTGTACTATTATCACTATTACTGATTCTGTCTACTATTAATTTTACACTACGTCATTATAACATAGGTAACCGTTGTTTTTATTATTCAATCATGACATAATTATATTTGATCAATAATTTTTAGATGAAAGTGTCACAAACCCCTTTGTAGTTATTACAATATGAATACCGTTTTGAAGCTCGAGATAGTGTATAGGTTGTATGTTGGTATAATGTTAACTGCTTTATAAATAACCCAATAATCGATCTTTAGTACACAAATGTACGTCTTTTCAAGTAAAATTTATTAAAGATTTCAGTAAAGCTTTTCACGCAGTTTTCATAGTAGGCTGCTTGAAATTAAATAACTGTCTTGTGCCAAGAAAACCACTGTTCTATAAATTACAGAGGTAACTGTGAATACTACTAAAATAACTTGTGTTGCACGTACAAAAAAAGTACTTTTTTCAAAATTGTATGAAAACAATCGTTGCATTACCAAATACGATAGTAAAGTTGAGGGGGTAGAGATTTTTTTTATGGGTATGATTTTGAAGTCATTTAAACACATTGCTAAAACCCTCGTGTGCTTATCGCTACCATCGCTATCTATTTGTTATGTTAAGGGGAAAGAGAACGTTGTTATTAAATAATGATGATAAATAAGCAACTAAAATAGAATCACGTCGTGTTTAAAAAAAAAAGTTTAGACATTGTTTGAAAAATATTATTTTATACAGATAGAGTTGTTCAATTGTAGACGTGTTGGCTATGAATACATCATAAAATTTGTTATATCTGAGCTACGAAAATTTATAAATACAATTTAAAGATTATACAATAATCTGATAAGCATTATCTTTTTATTACACGGATTCCATGGTAAAAAAAGTTCGTTGCCTGTTTTTTACTGGATACATCTTCAAACGATAGTGGATTGCACTACAGTACCCATGAGCGCTTCGTGCTGCTCATGTCGTTATTAACGCCAGCGTTGAGGGGAAAATAGAGCTTTTTTAGTACAGTTTTCGTTCTGATGAAGCAGACTATCAGTACCTACGTGCGTTACTAACAGCACGTGTCGTTATACAATAATGCCAACGTTGAGGGGAAATAGAGTGCCATTATTATTTTAGTTATTTGCGTTGTTTTTTTATTTTTTGAGTTAACTTGCTTTAATTTTTATAGTAGGCAATTTTCATTCCATCTAATGTGAATAATATAAATAATGTTAATTTCCCTCTCAACACTATTTGTTACCTAACTGTCCCCAATATAACGTATTTTATTAAAAAATTGATCAGTGCTTGAGGTAATGTATGAGAAATGAGAATAAAATCCATCAAATTGTGTAATTAATTAATTTTTAAGTCGAAGTATGATGCATTTTTTACGTTGAACAGCAAAATATTTTAATCGTAATACAATTATTAGCTGTGAATAATTAATTATATATAAAACTGTTATTAAAGACACAAGTATTTAGCAAATGCAACATTATAAATTTATCAGCTTTATTACACTAGCCAAACCCGTGCGCACTCTGCGAGTATTACTGACAACCAGAAAAGCACGTACATACAACCTCTTAGTTCCCACTATGAATCTTATTTGTTGGATGTTACCTTCGCTAAAGGTGGCTCCTTTTTTTAAGATAAGATGATCTAATAATAAGTTTACCTAGTATTAAAAGTTACATTGATCTGATAAGCGTTATCCTTTTATCTCACGGACTCCATGGTAAAAAAATTTGTTGCCTGTTATGTACATACGTAGTTTTTACTGGATACATCTTCAAACGATAGTGAATTGCACTACAGTACCCATGAGCGCTTCGTGCTGCTCATGTCGTTATTAACGCCAGCGTTGAGGGGAAAATAGAGCTTTTTTAGTACAGTTTTCGTTCTGATGAAGCAGACTATCAGTACCTACGTGCGTTATAAACAGCACATGTCATTATATAATAATGCCAACGTTGAGGGGAAATAGAGCAGCGTTATTATTAAATTAAGTGGCTAAGTGTATATTTGTACCTTTCTTGCATAATGTATACTGAAGATTCTTCTAAACGTCCCGTATGAGTTTTATAGTATATCAGATGTACTATATTAATTTTTATTTTACGTGCTTGCTGATGTTGTAATGCTTTGAATAAGAATAATAATGATATCAATAGAAATTATGATAGATGATGATAAAAATAATGGTAATAATATTAGACATGTTCTCAACAGTAAAGTCATTGATATATGATCAGTGGAGATTTAAAATGGAATATCCTAAGAAATAATGGGGAAAAAAAATTTAAGCTTAAAAATTTTATGTTTAAAAAAAAAATTTTTTTATGAATCAAAATTTCGAGGTAATAGTTGCTGCCCTAAAAATAATTAAAAGTATGTACATTATAGCAGTCCCATAATTATCCTAGCTTCACTATTTCAAAAGTATTTAAATGTGCTCTATTATATATTACTGGTATGAAAAGTCAGTAATAAATG